AAACCCTAAACCCTAAACAAAGCCCTGCAGGTTTGGGGGTGCTCGTGCCATGATACCAGGACTGCAAGGAGATACGAGTAGCAAGTATTCCCACGCCTATTCTGCTTTGTAGGAAAATAATCCCTAAACTCTAAACCCTAAACCCTACTAAACCCCTAAACCCTAAACCCTAAACCCTAAACCACAAAACGACGAAGTCTACCACCGAATAGCCACCTAGCGGCAGAGAGGCAAGAAGCCATCACTTCTTCTCTGATCTCCTTCCAGTCTTCCCGCAAAAGCACCTGCAAAACTCCGACTCCGGGCTCCTATCTCTTCGGGTGATTTTATTAGTTTAGGGTTTAGGGTTTAGGGTTTTGGGTTTAGTGGAGCCTTTGCCGTTTTCAGCTTGCTTTCGTGGGAAGGTGTCCTTGCCATTTAGATGCAGCTGTGACATGTGCTCCACGCGAAGATGTCCATCTTGGACGTCTATTGATCTGTGATGTTCGGCAGTCCTCATGTCATGGGTGGTGGTCGTAGTTGTCGGAATTGTAAATCCAAGGTATGTGGAATATGCTCATGTGAGACGCGGTGGTGGTATCTTCGTCCAGTGGCATGACATCGGTGTCGCCATCCACTTTGTCTTCATCCTTGAGTTTGATGCACAGTACGTATGACTGGACCAAGCCAAGGCTTTCATCCATATCTGGGCTTCAGCAGATTATCAAACACATGTTTGCCTCTAGCCTCGTATTGAAGAACATGTCTTTGTCCGATAGGTGTGTTTACAAAGTGTGGTTGTTCGTATAGTTGCCGTCTTGGTCAATATAGGAATATGCTTATGAAAACCCAGAGGAGATGACCATGGAAGAAATAGGAGAACAGCTGGAAGTTTACAACCGATTGCAATACAACTAGCAAGGACAAAAGGACGGGTATATGCAGCAACAGTTGCCTTGAAGTGCATTCAGAAAAGGGAAGTTGAAGCAATGTCTAAAGACAACAATGTCAATACCGCCGGCGGACTGAGGACCGAACTGTTGACGTGAGCAATGTGAAAATTATCGTCACACTCCTGCGCTTGCCATAATAAAGTCCTCCCCGTCCGACCAAACTGCCACGTCTTCTGGAGCAACAAGATTCCTACCGGCTTCCACCTCCTCCTCCTCCTCTTCGGGTTCTGTGTCGGAGCCAGGTACCATGTCATTGGGCACAGTGGCCCCGATTGCGGGCTCGGCTTTGTTGTTGCAGGGGACACGCAAAGAGTCAAGTGCATCCAGGCGGGTGACCCCACGGTGTAGCGGAATACCAGGAATCCACCCACCAGACACTGCCCTCCAAACTAGTTGCTGGAATTTGATTTGTCCAATCACATCGTCCCGCCCATACTTCTGCACTGCACCGGACACACTCGTGTAGCGGTGATGCCCCTGTGAGGCACGCAAGGACTTGCTAAGATGAAGCTGATTCCCCCAGCAGAGAAGTGTGCACTTCAGGCTGTGAAGCGGCGTAAAGAGCTGGGCCTGTTCTGCACTAAAGCCCGCGTAGCACAT